CAAGTAATACAATCAAAGCTTATGCATGACCTGAATGGTATATGTGGCTTGACTGGCCTGTTAGCCAGGATGGCTGCTATGGTTCTAGAACCACTGAGAGTAGCAGACTATGGCCATGAATGTCCACAACTCTCTCACTCTCCAGAATGTCTCTTGACGCATTATTTGTGGATTAATGCATGTGAATGGTTCAATATAGCAAGAAGTCACAATGAATAAACAGAAGGGATCAGATTCTTCATAAGGATGTACACATGGTTCTCATTTTAAGGCCTGAACCAATCTACTTAATGTAAATCCTTCTCGTCTTCAAATGGGAATGTAGCCTTTCTGGCTAGCTCTAGTAAAGAGCTTAGGCACCTAAAGAAGGATGCATATGGAACAGCATCCAAAAGGGCTCTCCAGAAACCCATGCTTTGGCTGCTGTCTAATCCTGGAGGTGCCTAGTCTCACAAGGCACCTCCCTTTTTGATTTTAAAGTTCTATAGGTGACAATAGTTGACCATATCAGCCTGGTCTGAACAGCTTATCAGCCAGTTCTTCCTTGGACTGGTCTAACCTAGGAACTAAGCAGAAGATACCTAAGACTTTTGAAGGCCACATGTGTTAGGCATTTTCAGTGCATCCCAGCATACTCTGGTGGATCAAATGCTCTTCATATCACTCTTTATTTCTTACATAGCAAATCTGAGAATAAGAGAAGAAAGGCTACTTTTTTTTTTTTATTTTTTTGTGAAGGTAAAAAGAGTAATTTGCTGTAGATTGGAAATATGTTTCATTATTTATTTATTGATATCTTCACATTCTTTTTTTTTCCCACATCCACTCTCTCATGTGTTTAAAGGGAATTTTTAACTCATCTTTGACTGGGTGAAAAATAGTCATCTTATCCTTAAACGGTTTCATGCCTAGTAATGTCCATGTTTCCTAAACCAAGTTGAATGGGATCTAGGTCAAATGATTAAATATGGACATTTTTTTTCCCCACATCTAAGTTTGGAAAGAAAACCTTCAGTCTATATTAAGATTGCAACTTATTAACAAAAAGGATCACTATATGCAGAAGTAGGCTGCTTTTTACACAGGTAAAGCATGGTGCTCTCAAGGCACAGAGGAATGCTGTGTGTTACATGAACACTGCAAGGTGGAAGTGTTAACTCCGTGTCAGACATTTGGCAGAATAGAAATATAGCAACAGAAATAGAACATTTTCAACGCATCCTGCTTTGAAAATAAAATAACTTGGCTTCTTAATGGTATTTTTTCATTAAAATAGGGGCTTTGCTGCAATATTTATATGTCAGGAGGAGCCCATTAGTCTATGATGATATTCTTTTTCCATTGACATTATCTTTTAATTATATCATTCTGAGCCACATTGCTAGTGGAGGATCGATTTTTACAGCCCAGTTTACATATCGCGTCAGCATCTAATTCTGAGGAGGTGTTACACACTTTGAGGTTTCTGCTTCCCTTTTTAAAAATAATTTGGAACTCATGACTGCTTAAAAAGGCATCAACAAAGGTGCCTGTCTTTCCTTTGAAGTCATATTTTGCGGAAATCACAGTCACTGACCAAAAGGTTTCAAAAGATTAAATTGTGCTTATTTTACGACATTTTAAAACAGCAGGGTTAAATGCTGGGCCAGCTGCCAGGCAGTCAGCAGCACCCATACTTTCATGTTCAGGAGCCAGACACATCTACAGCAGTTATTTCTGAGTAGTTATTCCTGAAATATGTCACTCAGACAGCAGAGGGGTGTTAAGATTTGCATGCTTTGATGATGGGCTAATGAAAATGTATTTTATATAAATACCATGATTGTAATGAATTTCGGAGTTAAAAAGAAAAAAAAGAATGTAGTGGGCAAATTAGATATTTGTAATTCTCTTTGTCAACACTGGCTGCTCCCTATGGTTGCAATCAACTTGGAGAGCCATGAAATCACAGATATCAGACACTCCTGTCCCACACTGCATTATCACATGTGGCAAAACTTTTTGCTGCTTGCTCCTTTATACAGGGGCTGTAACAAACTAAGGCCCATTTTGAACTCCCAGAACTGTTCCAAAAGGGAGGCATAAGTCTTGACGTCATCTTTGATGAGGAACCAGAGGAGATGGAGGACACTCACACACTGGTCATCCTGGGCAGCGGCACTGTGGACTTAGTGGATCTTTTTTGAAGTTCAGCTCTGTTGCAGTCAGGAAGTGACTTGCTCCAATTTATTAATTTTCATTCTGGTCTTTTCTTGCTAATCCTCCTGTGCTGCCTGGTTTCCCTTGCCTTGGCGTGGGTTTTTTTCATCTGTCCTTTTCCATTTTGAGGACTCATAGGCCAGACTCTCTGTGCTGGTTTCCGTCACTTTGTATTGTGCAGGTGTTGCAAAGCACTGACTTAACTGGCCCCCAGGGAATGTTCCCTGTGTAGGCAGCCATGCAGCCAGTGCAAGGCAGTATAAATGGCTCTCGTGCCAATTCCTGTCCCCATGCTGGCAAAAGGGCATGACTGAGACACCCAGAACAGAGTGCTCTCTATTCTTAATGGGTACATCTTGGGGACTGAAATGAGCTGGGATTAATTAGGGTAGATTTGAGCTACATAATCTTACATAGTTTTTTAAGCTTATGTAGTTCTGCTGCAGCTCAAGCTCAGCAGCCACTGAATTGTGTGACCAGAGCCGGCTTCCCATCTCCTGTTCTGAGTGGATCTTGGCACAAGGCAGAATATGGGCCTTTTATTCTTGTCCTGCTGGCTGGATGAAGCCCCACTGTCTACAGATCAAAGGGGTTTGATGGACTGCCAAAAATAGTAACCTATACGTAAAACATGTGCTTCATTTATAGCAATCATTTGGAAAGTTTCCTGCTACTGCAGAAATGCAGATTACATTGATTTACTGTCCAGTACTGCAAAATACTGGGAGGCTTTTCAATGACTTTTTTGTACGCATTTGCAGAAAGGCTGGGGAGATTTCTTCTTCCTTCCTTCCTTCCTTTCCCTTTTGGTATATGATGCATAATCATGTGAAGTACATCTTTCTGAGTATTTGCATCACTTTAGTGAATTGGGTTAATATCTGCTCCACACTTTGAAAGACGCTGTCACCTGTGCTGATGTCTTAACCTTTGAAAAATGAAGTGCTGCTTCTTTTGATGTAAAGAACATCTCTCCAGTCTTTATGGAATCATTTTATTTTGCCTCTTAGTCTATAGGCTTTTTCTTAGCTATAGAATATGCATGTTGTCCTGCATGTTGTTTTCAGGCACTTTTTGATGTTTTTTGTGGGAACAAACTCGTGCTTAACATAGCAGTTAAACATGAGCATAGCCACCCTGTGTTTTGAGCACAGGTCTGAATCTGCACTTCAGCCTATCTGTGCTGCAGCCCACCCACCCCTCCCAGGCCTATTGATGTTATGTTAGACAAAACTAGCTACTCTGAGTCCTTCCTAGAAGGGTCATAATACCACTGAAGAGACAGAAAGATGTGTTTATAGACAGCCTGAGCTCAGATTGTTGTTACAACAAGGAAGACATGCTACGTTGAGCAGCATGAACTGATGTGGACATTTGGAAGTAAATCAGGGAGTATACTACTCTGTGTCCTCTGCCTGGTCAACCTACACAGGCCCAGTGTGTTAACGAAATAGGATTTGAGATCTAGTTTACAAATAAGGCTGAAAAGAAAGGAGATCATCCACAGCTCTTATGACTTAAGAACTCTTGTTATTCCATGTACTCATATTGGTGTTGTAAAAAGAGCACATTTAATGAAAAGTTCACAAATGTAAGAAGAGAATAAAGTCTCAAGAAATGAGCAGTGACAGTAACCAGTGGCCTACAACCTTTCAGCCTATTTGCAAACAGATATCTTATTTGGTGGATGATAAAGAAGACAAACTTGGCCTTCACTTCATGACTCATATTAAGGAAGGATGTCATAATCTTCTCTTCAAAAACTTATATACCTAATAATATTCAGAAATACCTGTTTTCCCTTCCTGGTCTTATTTTTCTATATCATTTTCCTTCAGACCCTAGCTGCTAATAGGCACCATAAGGGTTAATTATTCTATCTCTGGATACTATTAAATTCACCCCAATTCACTCCTCTGCTTCCTGTCTGTTAACGTCCTAAGGATCAAAGCTCAATATAACTATTTTAGGCCAAGAGTTCAAAATGCTACCATTCATATTATAACTTAACAGGAAAGCATGAGTTACTTTTCCTCCTAATAAATCATATCTTCTTGAGTTATGCTTTTTTTTTTCACTGAGGAATTAATTCAGTTTTTCCTATCCTATAGCTCTGTGATCCTAATCTCAAAGCTTACATGAGTCTGTTTTCAGGCATCCATTTTGAGTCAATTATTTGGAGCAGAAAAAGTTGTAAAACTAATTTAAAAATACTGAATGAGAAAATAATGATACTTTTCAGAAAGAAACATGGATTTAGAAAGGCAGGGGCAAAAAAAAAAAAAAAAAAAAGCACCTTTTCTCAGCTATTTCATTTTTACTTGTGAATTACATTTTTCTTTTAGCTTTCTGCTTAATTCCAACAAGTGATCCTCACAGCCACTCCATTTGCAACCTGGAGATTTTGCACGGAAGGGGTTATTTTAATTGTCCTTTAAATGCGGTATCCTCAGCAATGGCTTGCACAAATCGCTGTGTTCTCCAAAAAGTGCTGGTGGAGTGCTTGATTTTACCCTGGAAACCATTTCGGTTTGAATGGCAACCAACCTGCCCTCCACACTGAGATTTACTAACATTTCCCACATTGCATTGACAGCCGGACCGCTCGGTACAAGGAGATACACCCGCGCGCCACACGCCCCCCACAGCCCCAGCCTTGCTCCGCTTCATGGCAATGGCCGCCCTGCTCGCGGCGGGAAGCGGAGCTCCTCCTAGCGGCCGTGCTCCGCACCGGCCGGCTGAGGTACCTGGCCCTCGGACTGCTTGGGGATCTGTGCTGCCGGGAGCTCGCTGCGGGTGAGCACGGCGGGAGCGCCGGTAGAACGGGCCCTGCACGGCGTGAGGGTGGAAGACCTGTAAGGTTTCCTGCAAGGGGCAACCCTAGAATACCGATTTCAGTCTTTTCATTCTACGCAAGCACCTTAAAAGCCTGGGCGCTGTGGCTGCATGTCTGTCATACTCCAGCCTTTGTATCAGGGCCGTGAACACTGCCTCAGAAATAGGGCATTGGAGATAGCAGCTTCCTAAGTAGTGATTCTGTGCTGCTCACAGAGGATTTACCCGTGCCAAATACCTGGGTTATATTTAGAAGAAGACTTCAAACAACCTTCACCTCAGCTCATACAAAATGCCCTCGGATGGAAGTCAAGCACTGCACAAATCAGGAGTCACTTTCGGGGTAGCATTGTGCAAACCGTGCAGCACGGCTGGCATCGGCTTCAGCTCAGTGACAGACACGTCCCCATCACAGCCAGCATCCCACCCCTCCCAGAACCACCTGCAGCACCACCCTTTCCTTTACGCCTTCTAAGTTGTTGCCCAGGACATTTTATTAGCTCTGCTCAGCTGTACAGCACAAAGAATGCATATTTCTTCTTCTGCATAGTGTTGTCTTTACCAGTAAAATTTAGCTGGGGCTTGATGTTCAGAAGGGTGAAGAGATTATGAGAGAAGGGAATAACCCAGGCCAGCTGTGTATATTCTGACTGCTCATTTAAGCAAAGGCAAGGAAAGCAGTCTGGCTGCAAAAAGTAAAATATTACAGGCTATATCATAAGGTTTGGATGTGAACATATGTACACAATGCTTCTTTCACAGGATTCCTGCTGTAAACTTTGTCCTTTACCGGGTGATTCAATCCTCTGTAATGAAAAAGCTGCCCCCACTCTGAACTTTACTGTTTTTTTTTTTTTCTTTCCAAAGAATACTAAGAGACTAAAACAAAAGACACAAGAAAGTATACTCCAACTTGTGCTCAAAGAATCTTTCTTGGAAAATGAAAAGCCATGGTACCATTGGGATCAGCCATTGAAAGGCACTGAAACTTTGCCACAGCCTTCACAGCTGCTACAGAAGTTCATTTGATACAGCGCTGCATTCCCTGTATGGTTAATTCACACTTCTCTGGTAGGTGACCTATCCAGCTTGTGGACAGATAGGGCACTGAGTATGAAGACACCTGAATACAGAAGCAGTACAGCTATATTTGTGTCATCTATATCCCCTAGTTCAGAGAGGTGTCATGTTAAGCATCAGCTTTTTTTTGCCTTTTTTTTTTTTCTCTGTCTGATTTGATTTTGTGGGTTGCTGTTGCACTGTCTATGTTTTTGGCTGGCCAGGGTAGCCCACAACCTAACTATACCACACATGCTGCTTTTTTCTAGACCTTTGTTTGTGAGGTGTAGGTGTATGAATGTGTGTGTGCATAGAAATTGCTCACTAAATTCTTAACTGGCTTAGGACACTTTATATTCTGATAGAATCCTGACTATGTCAGATAGGCACACAAACTCCTAGAAACATGCTGGCCCATCTTTTAATGTGGAATATTATCATGTAGCATGACAAGCACCTACTTTCTGAATAAAATCACTGCATCTTACATACATAGATTCAGGAAACTATAGCAAGTCACTGTGTTTTAGTGATATAGCCCCAGGAACACTACCTGAAAGCTAGAGAATTGGAAAGTGTTCAATCAACATATCAGTTTATTGCTAAAGCAAGATCATATTCCAACTGAGAGAATATGAAAATCAATATGGCAGTAGACCACAGTATTTTATTAACTACTGAGTGTTTTAAAACACAACAATGTGCAAAGTCTTTGTGCAAATTGGGTGCTATGCTTCACTTTTGGAAGTTGAGTGTTATTAGTGTGTGATTGCTATTAAAAGATTCAGTTCAGTAAATACAAAACTGACAGATGTGCACCAATACAGCAAATTCTAAATATGCAGGTGATGCACAAAGAGCCCAGAGTATTTATTACTCAAGTATATTGTGTTTGTTATATGACAACTGTTAGGTATGTTTAAAGAATGACTTTGTAATTGCATTCTCACAGGATGTCCTTTTGTTTTTCCAAGGAATATTCCTCAGTGTTTCTCTTTTTCATTAGATGCCTCCAGCACGATGACAGGAAGACATTATTTCCCCCTTACTATACAGGAGTATGTATCAGAACAGGACCCATGCCACACTGTTAAACTAACAATTGTTCAGTATTTTTTTTCCCTCATTTCCCTCTTTGTAGTGGGAATACCTGATCTCAACCTGACCAAACTGACTGCAGACATTTTTGTTGACTTTATAGGCTTTTGTTCAGACTCTGTGATACAAGAGAATAAGCCATACAGGACAAGGGTGTAATTCCATCAAGGACTTCTGGTGACCTCATAAACCATGAGAGCTGGCATTGCCTTTAATGGGCACCACGTGCTTAAATTCCCATGCATCATTTTGAAAATATAGGGCTTCATTTGATATCGCAGAAGGATACCAGACCTACCATGTCAAATTGTTTCTCTTTCTTCTAAAGGAGCCACTAGTTTTATGTTACAGTCACTCCTCTTTGGTAGTGAATGAAATATGCCATTCTGGAAAATGAGTATTTTCTCTGGCAAAATGAACTTGAAAAGTATGTTTCATAGAAAAACACATATTTGGGTTATATTCTTTTAAATAAACTTTCTAAAAAGATGGCAATAAATTCAACGAAAGGTGTGGTTTGTGCAGCATTGGCTTTGCTTGCAAGTTTCTAAGTATGCGACATTTAAAATAATTAATTTGTACATCAGTTAGAAAATATAGGAATGGAACTGCTTTGGGTCAGTTGAAAAACTAGACCATGTTAAACCTGGTTTAAGTTAAGCTGGGCAAGTTACCTTAAGTTGCTAATGCCAAATGAACTTAGTTAACTAAAGCAGTTCAACTGCATTCAGTACACCAGTTTTAGGACTTTGTTGGTAGGAATTTCCAGGGGTTTAGTAAATTTGACTGGAAGTTCTAATTTGTGATTTTTTTTTCTATCAATCACCTTTGTAAGGCACTTGCAGATTTTTCCTTGCCTTGTCTGTACATAACTGTAAAATATTACTTGTTAGCAAACTAAAAATAAGATCTGTCACCGTGTCTATTTACTTCAGGTAAATGTGGTAATAGAGACATAACCTGAATTTGTCAGCTTAGCTTTTTATCATATACGACATCAGTATATAGCAAGGAGATGCTCTAAAAAATTCTCATTGTGATGACTTCATACCAGGAAAGGATCTGTCCTTCTTAATTCTGAGAGAACAGATCAGTGAACTTCCTAATCTTCATTTTGCTCTGAACATTGTAAATAGCTAGCTTGGTCCATTAATAAAATCTCTGTGGCACAGCTATATAATGCTCCTCTATTAGATGCATACTAGGATATGGTGGTATTTTTTCTTATTAAGATTCAGGTAACAAATCACCTTGAGATAGAAGGGAGAAAGAGAATACGTTCTAGACAGATTCTTCAGAAGCTACTTACTGTGGCCTTTCTGCTGACTTAATGTGCAGTCCCTGGTATTTGTCATTCTCTGGGATAACTTTTGAACTATATGTATCACTTTTCCCTGTGTTGTATTTCACTGAAAAGGACATGGTTTTCACCATGTGCATGGCTCAGCCACCGGGTAGACCGTATACACTATTTCCCATGTGAAATAATTGCATATCTTAGTTTAAAAGACTTAAACGAATTGCAAATGTGAGAATATGGGAAAAGGTTGTTTCTCCAGTGTTAGTGTCATAATACAATGGATGTAGATTTTATACACCAAGCTCCTTCTTAATGGCATTGTAATCTCATAGCTGAGACAGTTAATAAATTAGAGGCACATGGAAGGCTGTAGTAACCTTGGGATGCAAGCTGTATTGTAGTAGGTTATATAGTTCCATGGAAAATGATGTATTTTTGGTTTGCTTGTACTACTTTCTCCACATGAATCATGTGTTTGGTCCAAGAATTCTGTGGTTTCCTCACTTTGTGATAATAATTAACACCCTGACTAAGCAGTGATGACATTTGTTTAGGGGCCTGACTCTGATTTTTGTTGCTCTTTTGCCTTATGTTACTTTCAATGTGCATTTAAAACCATTTTGGAAAATCTGAAGGTTCAGAGATTGTTGTTGGTTTTTTCTTCTTACTTTTCTTACATTTAGAAACTATTTCATGTAACCTAACTTTCAGCCTTTGAGGATGTACAGCTCATCCAGTCCTGTGAGCCTGGGTTGGCAGTAGGAAGCTGAAACTAATGCCATCTATGCAGGGCTCTAAAGGCAGTAGGTTGGGAAATATTTCCTGTTTTTCTGAAGAAACAGAAAAAATTATATAATTAGCAGAAAAGTTAATCAGTGCTAAAGTAACTATTTTTAAGAGAATATGTTAGGAAAGAAAAAAGAAAGAATATCTTAAACCTTACTTTAAAGATTCCTGAAGCTTTGGGGAAAATCTATTTTAAGAAAGATGACAATGGTTCTCTATTCCCCCAGTAATCTTATAAAATAGATTAATAGCTTTGGAGTAGATGTACATATTTTAAACTTCCTTTCTGGACAGAACACAAAGAAAACCTGGCTTGTTTGTGGTTGTAGAAGAATCATAGGTGGCTTTGCATAAGAAACACAGGTAGCTGCCAGGGACATAGAAGCCTCCTTCCCTTTCCCTGTTCTTTTTTTCTGTAATAACTTTTTTTAAGATGTTATCATTTTTTTCCCGCATTTTTCCTAAATAAAGTGAAATGTCAAATCAGCAGAGAATTAAAATGTATTTATAAAAAACAACCAAAAGGGCATCTGATGTTTTACAGACATTCCAACACCTTCAGGAAATTTGAACTCACACCAAAGGGTCTGATATTCATTTGATTCTCCATCTGTGCTGAAGCACATGTGTGCGCACAACACACATTGAACCACTACAGTGGAAAAAAAATCCCTGCTCTTAAATTATAGCAGCTCTCTACAATTCTTCTGTAACCACAAAGGGTTTGGTAGTTTTGAGACATTGCAGTGGCTTCGGGTGATCTGATCACAGAGCTTAGTTTTGTTAAAGAAATCCCTTTGCTGAAAGGTATGGAAAAGCTGTAGGAGAAACATGGGGAGCTGCTAGCTCACAGCATGAGGGTAGTTTGGAGCAAAGGGAAAGGGTTCAAGAAGCTGATGTGACAGCAAACACCCTATAGGCAGAGGTAACGCTAGAAACACTGCAGTGTTAGCTCCCTCACCAGAAATCCCCATGCTTGCAGGAACGGATGTAGTCATTAGTTCTCAGTGGGACTATGACCTTTCCCTTTAAATATCTGTGTGATGCTTTTGATCCTTTTGACTCTCTCTAAGGCATAGATTAAATGCATGGCACAATGTCTACTCCTGAGTGAGGATTAAGCCTGGCTTTTGGAAGCAGAACTATATTGCCTAGCCCATCATCATTTATCATGTTCTCTGGGGACCTGTTCTGCCATTTTTCTTCCCCTCCCCCCCATACTTTTAGAAAATCCCCTTCTCTGGGGTTTAATATTGATCTCAGCTGTGTCAGCCTTGTTTTTACTGTAGTTACTTCTGATTTTACACTTAAACAGGTCTTATGTCTCAGATATCTTGTTAAACAAAGTGCTATTCTGAGGCTGAGCTCTTCTGCAACCTACAGTCCTCTTAGCACATTTTTTGTGTGCATTTTAATAATAAATACCTTAAAATAATTTATAGGTTTGTTTCACCCTGTATTTCAATGGAATTCCCTGAGGATAAACCTTGCCATGTAATACTTGTATTTTGATTTAATGAAGCAGTGAAGCATGTGATTACCTTCAGGACCTGTGTAAATCCCATTTACTTCAATGAAGCCCAAGACCATGCTTTAGTGCTTCACTAAGTAGGGATGCTTAAGGCTAATATGCACATAAATGCTTTTGCTGAATCAAGTCGTAGCATTTTATCCATTTTTGTTCCTGTTCCTCTTCAACACTGTCTGATGATGTAATAATTTTGGTCTTGTAGTATCTGCATTCTGCTCCAAGTTAGAAGCTATGGTGGTACTGAAGATCTCATTCAGGGGAGAATAAAATTAATCCATTCTGCAGCTGTGAACTAGA